CACAGTTGCCATGCAGCAGTAAGGTCCTCCAATCCTCACAGCCCTAAGAAACTTACTTTTTCGTTCAATGATGGCTGTAAATAGGTATCAATTTAATTCGATGTTTTGGAGCAGTTTTTACTCAGGTTGTTTTTTTTTTTCAAGAATATAATGTCCCTTATAATAAATAGCAAGTAGTAAAAATATATTTTACAGATAGTTTTCACAGTTAAATGCAGCGTTTTCAATTAAAGTTAAACAATGTCGGTATTTTGTATGCACAATCCACGGTAATGTTTAAGTGAAGTACATTTTTGTTTGTTTCTCAGCAGCAGCAGGCAGCAGCAGCGTCACACCGTCTCCTCCTGCGCCCTCCCCCCCGGCCTGTTGATATCACAGCCCGGAGAGTTTTGAATTCAGTCTGTGGTCCCAGCCGCCGCCGCCGCCGCCGCCATGCTGTTGAGCTGAGAGACAGCGACGAACCAAACTTTTATTTCTCCAAGCTGTTGCCGCGTTTTGTCTTCAGTAAAAGGGACGCCTTCCACACAGTGAGTACCAGTTTCTTGTGCCGTACCGAAGAAGCTTAAGTCTATGAAGGTGTAGTTTGGTAAAGTACCACAGAGTTTTCTTTCCAGAAATTGCCCATGTACCGCACTGCATCGTGCTGCCGCGGAGTTCTCAGCTGCACTTGTTACGCGCTCTCGCCCAAACTTCCAACAGAGGCTCAAAGAGAGAAAAATGGCACTTTATTTATATTATGTGTTTCTTGTTTTGCGGAAACTTTCACCACTAATTTCCCGTGGTTAAAAAACCCCCCACACACACACAATAATTTGTAACGAAATAAACATGTTAAGAGAGCGCTTTTTGTGGTCACTCCCCTTGAAACGCAAATAACGTCAGAATAAATCACCCATTTAAAGATTAAACATCTCCTTCACCTTCAAAAATGCCACTCTGCCACCCAGAGGTCATTCAGGGGTTCTTACCCTTGGCATGCATAAATCAAGGGTGCTCTTTCATTGCAATAACAAAAGCCCATTTACTGACAGCGCTGAAGCCCAGCCACATAACCACAGTTTATTTGAAGGGCTAGGATGGCGTCTCAGATACCATCACGAAAAGAAATGCATGAAAAGCACACTGTTTTGTCTCAGTGTGTTTATTTCCAACTTTTCAGCTTCATTTCAGTGAGACTGGAGCATATTTGTGGGTCTAGCTGTGAACGTCTCACCTGGACGCTTATCTCATCTGAGTAGTAATAGTTTATTGAGCTGCTTTCAGTCTCATTTGCTGTTTGTTTTTGGTTGGTGTGACATTATATTTATGCTTTTGCTTCCTTTTGACATTTTTACAGTGAAGCTCAAGTTGTCATAATAGCTTTGCCTTAGTTCTGTTTTGATTGTAGAATGAAGCATATTATTATTACAGTGTTACAGAAACATTCTGGTCAAGATTGATTTGTCTTGACCAGGCTTTTTTGCCAAATTTCTGGCTTTCTGACGTCCTGATTCAAATTATGGCTGATGCCTTTGTATTTTTCTGCAAAATGCCAACCTTAACATTCTTCATCAGGCATGGGTACAGCTTTTAAAATTCAATTTTAGGAAATGAGTTTATCACAAGTCATGATATCTTGATAAGGACAATAACTTTGTCACGTTGGGCTAACTTGGCATGAATAATTTATTAACCCTTAATAAATGCATTATTTGAAAAACAGTTTTATACCACTCAAATGATCTTTGTCAGAAACATTGTGTGTAACAAAAATGCACTCTGGGGTGTCAAAAACTTTTTACCACGCACTTCGACTATTTTATCAATTTGCAGATTTTGCATAACTTTTGCTGCTTTCATACTCTCTCAAAAGCTAGTAAAATGTCTGAAACGGTTAAAAGCTCCTCTCTAGAGCTTCAAAGCACCTCCTGTATAGTACAGTACTGGCTTACTTTACATCTCATGACCGATTATGAATATTTCAACATTTGAACATGACAGATATGATGATTTCTCCCTTAAATACAGCAGTTGTTTCTTCTAAACCCCTGTTCCCCCATGTTTGTTGTTGGTGCCATTTACTGCCCCGCCTCGCTGTCATCTTCACTCATCGTTTCGCCAGAATCCATCGGCGCTGACATGCCCCTCCCTTTTGAGCTCAATAACTAATTCTTCTGCCTCGTTGGCCCTGATTCCACAGGTCCTCAGTTGGGTCACGTCAGACATAGGGGCAGAAACCTGGATCTTGTCAATCTGACGGGCTGGCTGGCAGTCGAGCGAGCCAGAGTCATGTCAGGCGGACCCTAAGGCGGGGAGTGGCGGGCGGTAGGGGGGGTTCGAAGAGCCAGCCAGAACAGGATATTGCTGTGTGATCATTCACCAGCAGCAGACAAATCATTAAACCCTGGGCTGCATGCCGATGAGCGGTTCAGGCGTTTCTATCTGTCACTTAAACTTCCTCCTCAGGGTAGAGTTTATGTTGTAAGCTTCTTGCTGTTTTGGCAGGTTTCAGATTTTCTGTTATGATGATAGCCAGTTGTGTGTGGACTTTGTTGGTTAAGCAGATTTTAATCATTTACAGTTGTAAACAACTTTTTTTTGTCTTTCTCGGTCCGTTGCTTTCACATGTACAGAAAGTGCTCGGTGTAACTGAATTTGGCATGGTTTTATCTGAACTGTCACTTGACCTGTTTTTTTGTTGTTGCTTTTTTAACGGGTGGATTCATTGCATATGAAACATGTCATTTTAATGCATTTCTTCTCGATTTGTTTGAATACTGTTGCAGAAAAACTAAGTACAGATTGAACCCATAAAATTCAAGAGTATGGATTAACTCAGAACAGTCTGCATGAAATCACAAACAGGCTGACCTATCTTCATAGTTCTCATTTGAAATGAATGCAGATTGCAGGCGGTCTCACTGAATGCCTTCTTTTAGATCTGAACTTTGTGCAAAAATGACTTTTTTTTTTATGTGAGCATTTATTTGCTTGGATGCCTGCTTTAAGTCTTGGGCCAAGCTCTGGCCGTTTGTCAGACTTTCACTCTTTTTACAAACTGGGTGCATTAAAATCTGCACTGGCTGGAGGAGATCCAGCTCAAGTGGAGAGCACATACCACGTTCAGGTTCCAAATGCAATTTGCCGATCTAAAAAGGCCTTTGGTGTAGAGATGTCACGGCTCCTTGCATGCCAGCTCTGAGAGATTTTTGGACCCCTAATGGGTTTGAGGGTGAACACTATCCATTCATGCCACATGCATTCCTTTTAGTTGTTTTCCAGTCGCAGGACTGGGTGAATTGCCTGCAAATCACCTGATCTTGATCTGCTGTTGTAGCCATCAGTTTAGAAAAGGTGCCATCTGTGACGGAGATGCCATAGAATTGTTAATGGCAGATTCTTTTTTCTTCTTAACGTAACTAATACAGACTGTAACCTGAAAGATGAAAGAGCTCATATTCACAGTGATGGTTTCTTTTAGATATCAGGTTAAGGAAAAAAGGGGGGGGGAGACTTTGATTGTCTTGATCCTGGAGGCATCCAGTCAGTCAGTGCTGCTTTGATGTGAAAAGTGTGCTAGATTTCAGACTTTTTGGGCAACCCCCCACCCCACCTCCATTTCAAAGCCACAGACCTCCCCTGCCACACCCATCCACTGTACCCCAGCACCCTCAGGCTGGAGTAATCTCACACTGGCAAAGACGGCAGCATCTGGCTGCATATCAGCTGCAGACATGTGGCATGCGAAGGCACTTGGAGTTAACATAGCGCATTCCAAAGATATCTCAGCAAAACTGCCTCACCATTTACTGTGGGTTTTAAAAAGAAGGTAAATGCTGGATGTTTAGCTTTGCTGGTCGTTTGGTGCTAAATGAAAGAACATTACTTGCTTGTGATTATTAAGAGGAAGTTAAATGGTTGATGGTTTTTAAAACTTCTTCTTGCTCTGATCAATTTTCTTGTCCCTGCTGAAGCTGCTGCTGCTATGTTTTGCCTTGGAAAGGGCGTGTACAGTAAGATATGCGTCTAGGCCTGTTGCAATAAGCAAAAGAAAATCAATTACTTCCATGATGAAATAAAGTGAGCTCAATTTCCATTTCCATCTACCAGAAACTGGAAGACTAAAGTCTTCAGTCTGGTGCACTGGTCTCATCCAGCACCCCCATCTCCCCCCTCTTTTTTGAAGGACAATTTTGTTTACAGAGACACCATGATTCCTTTTATTTATACATATTTTTATATTTATGCAATTAGCATAGTAATACTCGATAATGGTCTTAAAACAACATCGCTTTCATCTCAATTTATCGTGCAGGATGTGCGTCATGCCGCAGTAAAAGTGAAGAAAGAGCATTCCTTGGCTTTCATTGACCCAAACCAGTGTGCAAATTGCTAGAAGGTGCATGCAGTAATCAGATTACTGAAAACTCCAGGAAATCTGTGAACGTTCCCAAGATGTTACACTGCACAGCTTTAGAGTGATACTGCTGAGAGCGCAGTAAGCTCCCCGATCTGTTGCTGCAGGGCCGCTGACAGCTTACTTGGATGTTTTGAAAAGGCTCCCAGTGTTGTGTTGCTGAGAGCAGAGAGCTGGAAGGGAATGGATGGGGAGGTGGGGAGCGCGGTCTACATACAGTACATTCTGTTGTTATTGGAGCGCGTCGTTATCACAGCTAACCGGTGGAGGTGTTTTTCTGTTGGATTTTCTGTTAAATATTTGAGTATGATTTGCACAGGGGGGGGGACGTTTGGGAAACAGATTTCCAATTTTCTTCTTTATTTTCCTGTTGATCCTGCTAGTTGGATTTGCACATAAGGAAGGTTGAGCAAAACGAAAGCACCGCCTCAACCTGCTGTCCCTTTTCACTCAGTCGTAGGAGAGACCAATATGTCCCCTCAACAATGGCCACACTCCCACAGACACAAGACCCTAACCTCGGGCCCCCTCCCCCTCCTCCTTCTTGCCCCGGTACCCCAATTTCCCCCTCCCCCTCCTCCTTGTCAATTGTGCGCCTTTCCAGAGGCGTGATCCGTGCGCCGTCGCTCTCCGATGCTGAGCAGTGACATGGGGATCGGAAAGCTTTCCTTGCTTCTGTCACGCTCTCAGGTAGCAGGCGCATGAATAAAATGCATCTGGAAGGCATAAACTATGTCTCAGCCATACGTAGCATCGTGGATTTATGACGCTGAAGCCAGATAGAGATTAGGGAGTGTTAGGGGGAGAACCTGAGAGAAGATTTACCGGCGACTGTAAAGGGAGAAGGTGCTCACATGTTTTGATTATGTTATTTATTTATTTTTTTTTTTTGTGCAAGCAAAGAGCTGGTTTCCCTCATTTTGCAAGATGTTTTCACTGACCAAATGGTAAGATTCAGCTCGAGCCCATGCCTTGTCGACACGGTTGAACGTTATGACTGATGGGAGTGTTGACACCTTTTTCTTTTCTTCTGCAGAATATGGATGGATGCCGTGTCTTTTAGATTTGCTTTGTGCAGTGTGGGATCTGTGCAGCATGGTGCATGCTATTTTTATCCAAATATCATATGAGAAGTAAATAATTTAGCGTTGTTAGGTTGCAGGTTTTTGGAAGGCAGCGATGGGAAGTGCACAGTGGTGTTTTTCAGAGGAGAGGTACAGAAAGTCAAAGCCCTGGTGATTTTTCTGTTTTTATGCCTACATTTTTTTTACATGCTTTGTTCTAGAGGAAGTCCAAATGTCATCTTCGTTCCACAAGTTGCTGCTGTCAACCTGGACACTGAGAGACTTGTTTGTGAGCGGTGGGTGCAGGTAGAGAAGCGTGCCATTTTTTTTTTTACATCAAAGATCTAGCTGTAAGCAGCTCACCGTCTCAGCTGCACGTATAGGGGAGACCACTTTTTCCACAGTGTTTGCAAGAGCTAGTTTATTCTTTTGACCACATTAAGTCTTTTACAGCTGCATTCTGTTTTGAAAGTTTTTCTTGCATGCAGCATTTAATTTTTCCAGCGTAAAAACGAGACCTGCTCTTATTATTGCCACAGCATAGGTTACCACATCACAACTGTCAGTTAAAAAAAAATCTACATCTTGTTAATCTAGATTTGTTGTATTAGTTTATTCTTTTGTGCTTTGAGATGCTTCTGATTCCTGCATCTTTCCTTATTGATTACATTTCCGCTGGTGCTGAATTGCCAGAGGAAATTACCTCTAAATTGATTGCTGTAATTACTTGGAAATGCACAGCTAATGCTTGACAGTCCTGAAGATGGATGTGCTAATGAGCAGAAAAAAGAGAGGAATCATTGACAAATTCTTTTAAGCTGTGCGTTTTAGACAAGAAGGTAGGAATTGTGAGAGTGAAATGTATCCCCTGAAGACAAATACTGGCTGCTGCTGCTGCTGCTGCTGCTGCTGCTGCTGCTGCTGCTGCTGCTGCTGCTGCTGCTGCTGCTTGACCCGTCTGGCTTTGGGGTGGGGTCGAGACCCTGCTTTCACTTGTCTGGTCACCTCGTCTTATCTGGGCTTGGTTGTGAATTGGTATTTAAAATTTATCAGCTTAAGTACCTAAATCCCGCACTGGCTGGTCAGTCTGTCAACACATTGCATCGTCTAATCTATTAAATCTATGTGCTACTGCTGTAAGCTTTTAAAGGCAGATAAAATAATAGCAGGTTTGGAGTTTGCACATAATCCAGTTAGGCAGGGTAAGATCAGTCAGTTAAATATAATAGAAAACAATATAAATTCCTTCATGTAAGGGAATTTCTATTCAGTAAAATTGACTAGTGGTAATTAACGTCAGACCATGATTAAACTCTCAGAAAGCAAAGCAAAACACATCTGTAAGCTATACAAAGTCTTCTTGCTAGCTGGTGGATTTCTTGGTGCGCTCTATTTGTGGAAGCTAGCTGGCTGGTGGGCTGCTCCAGTAACTATGGTGACGGTGTCCCCAGTAAGCCTCGGAGCAACCCCCTGCTTTGCACGTCTGATTTGTGAAAGAAGTGATGCATGTCTGCAAAGTAGAGACTCGGACAGTGACCTTTTCCTTCTGTTTTCTTTCTCATGCTGTAGTCTCCACACTCCAACCCCGGCTCACATGCACACGCACGCACAAATACACACATAGTTAAACAACCCTCCAGCTACTGCAAGTAAGATAACCAAAGTTTTGGGAGGGTCGTCAGTGTTTTGGTAGATTTCTTTAAGAACATTCAGTGATTCTATCACCGAATATTGCGATTAAATTAACCATTTTCCAGATCCTCTTCATTCTTTTCCATCATATGACAAATATATAAGCTTAGTATGGGATCTAAGGGCATTTGGAGACCATCCAGCTGTATATATTATTGTCATGCACAATAAGAATGCATTGTACTTAAAATATGATACCCTATCAAATATTGCATCCAAATATGTGTGGATGGAATATTGCTGTCATTAATATTGCAATTACAATTGTGATTCAGTATGTTGCAGCCCTAACCACTGCAAAATCCTCCTTGTTATTGAGCAGAGATAAAAAAAAAAATAATCTATTGTTATGCTTTAAACAAGTCAGTAATTTACTATAGCATTGACGAGATTCCCACATGTGAACAATTAAATACGAGATACGATGGCTTACAATTGGAGAGAGTGATGCAGCTCTGCATTAAAGCAAAGGCATAAGGGTTCCAAAGGCAACGTTTTGATTCGTCTTCATCTTGTTTTCTGATTAGCGCAGCTAAAATAAACATTTCTAAATCCAGCATGTTCTGTGACGGATGGGTTGAAAGTTCAGAAGGATCAAATCCAGACCCTTTGCTGTTCTCTATTCAGCCTTTCTGTTATCTCATAATGTCCCACTTCCTTTGCAGAAAATGTCTGCAGAAAATAGTTTAAAAAAAAAAAAAAAAAAAAACTACTTTAATCTTTTTCAAAATTCAGAGCCGAGTCTTTGTCACTTAGTACAGACTTCCTCAGTAAATTGTGTTTCAAAAGTACAAACTAATCACTCAGCTATTGAGCTTTCAATAACCAGAAAACGATATCTGCAATTTTAGTTGCCAACTAACCAATCAGGCTAAACAAATTAAAAATAAATGAAAAATGTGTGAATCCTGATCATTAGCCATTTTGTCTTGTTGCATCACCAGTTATTAATCTTATTACAGAGAGCGAACATGTAGATTACCAATCCAGTATTTGAATGGTATAATAAATATTTTTTAAGCTGTTACAGTTATTGTCTATAAACTCAAAGGCAATCAATCTGCAGCTGTACCTTTGTTTTAAATACATTTCTGGAACGGGAAAAAATGTTTTCTTTTGAAAAATCAAATTTTGTGAATTATTTTTCTTGTCTCTTGAACTAAAAAAATATTTTTTTTGCTTCTTGGTTTTTTTTGTTCTGCACATAGATGCCTTTTAGTTGGATTATATTATTTAAAGTATCGGACTGACTCAGCATTGGCCAACATCCACTTTTAGATAACGCAAAAAGAAAACTGAAGGAGGAAAAATTTAGATTAGAGCATCCTTACTCATAACCCAGGATCAAATTTTGTGAATTATGAATTACGAGGCATATTTAACAGTTTTTGTCTCTTTCTCGGGTTTATAAAGACATTTATAACTATTTAATCTTATTTGTATGTAATATTTCATAGTGTATTCTAATCGTTTGTTTTACAGATCTAGGTGCTGAGCCTCACTCACCCGTTTCCATCTGTGTGAAGAAAAGTGCAAAGAAGATTTAATGAATCAGTATTCGCTAGCCGACGCTATGTCCGACAAGTAAGTTTGTCTCTTCCATGAAGTTTTTGAGTGTCATACCTTTTTTTTTTTTCTTTCTTTCTTTTTTTAACCGAATGCTTGTTTGAATATAAAGGACGAGGAGGATGCAGCCTGCGGTTGCTCTTCTCATTGTTTCCCCATGTTGGATGTGAAGAAGGGTTCGCTTTGCACAGAGAGAAGTGTGTTGTTGTGGTGGGGGGCTGGTATAAAGACAGTCTTGTGTTGCCCCTGAAGACATATGACATTTGCATCAGGGCTGATTTGCATTCCTGTTCAGTGTGTTGGTATGTTGCTGCTACGTTTAGCTGCTCTTTATTTTCCTGACAAAATAACACGGCTACTGGGTTTTGAGGCTTTTCCATCCCAGCTCTTCCTCCTAAAACTTCTTTGTACTCTCTTTTTTTGTGGCTCACCTCTTTATCTACGTTCTTTTGGATCAAATCTCTTTCTGCTTTCTGTCTCCTTTTTTTTTTGTTTCTTTTGTAAGCTCTGCCTCTTTGTATCTCAGTCCAGTGTTCCTGACTTTGACCTGTAGACCAAGAAGAATTGGAGTGCAGTAAGCAAAATAATCTGACGTCAGCATTCATAATAAGCGGAATAAGTGGTGCAGGCCGGTCAGCTGAATGGGGTGAATCCAAGCAAAACAAAGACTTTTGCTTTTCCCAGTTAAACAGTTTCAGTGTTTGCAGACGGTTTATGTCATGAGTACATATTCCCTTATGTAGAAATAGGTCAGTATTTGAGTGCACTGCCCACCGTCCATCATCTACCCACTTATTGCTAATGCACCTGTTCACCCCTTTGAGGGCGGAAATATAAAAAGGCGGTGGGTTGGTTAGTCGGCTTTTCTATGAAACAAGCCTCAGGGTGCCTTCTTTGCATCCAGTTATGTCAGCATAAGATACACCACATCTCTTTGAGCAGAAGAATGCAACATCTCCCCAGAGGGGGATTAATCCTGAAAATTAAAAAAAAAAAAAAAAAAAAAAAAAAACTATGCCTCATAAGCTATTCTTTTCATGTGTTCGTACTCAGGAATTCATTCCTTCATTCATTCTAATGCAGCAGAACAAAGAAAACGATCTTTGCAGAGAGTGTAATTTTAAAACCAGATGCATAAAATTGATGCAATTATGGGATCCGTGATGCTTTTTAAGTGAGAGATGACAAACGTTGACAACTTTCTTTGCTGGATCAAAAGTATCCAAGCAACCAAAAGATGGTGCCTCTTGTGGAGGGGGTGTTGTTATTGTGTGCTGGAAGGATTGTTTGAGTGAGGAGAATGATAAATGTTGTGCTAGAAGGAAGTAAGGGGAAAAGTTGGAGGACGCTGCCCCCCGACAGCGACCGAGAACAAAGCCCCCCTCGATGTGGGACTACTCGGGATTTATACAAAGGCAGAAGAAGATTGCTACTTATTTTCTCTTCAACACACACTCGCATGACCCTCAGCCTTTCTTTCTCCCTGCGCCTCAGTCATCAGCAAACATTTACACTTTGTGGGGTATCAGTGGACGTCCCATGAGAAATGTAAATCCCACTTGGTATTCCCAGATACAAGCTAACATGTGGACACGTCTAACAAGTGGAATAGTGCGTCTCTAATGATTTTTTTTTTATCTCATTTGAATCCTACAGACTTTCCATGAGAGCATAAAGTGGGAAATGTAGGAAATATGCAATTACATAGAAACTGGGGGTAATTTAAACTAGCTGTACCCAATCCAAACAAATAATTTTATTTTTTTTTGCCATATGAAGGCGTCCACCACACATTTGCAAGTTAAACAACAATAGCAAAAATCAAATATAGATGTCCAAAATTATTGGAAAAAATGTATATTGCATGTAGGGGCCGTTGCCTTAATTTCCTTTAAATATGAGACATTTAAGGAACAACGCAGATCTATTTTCAGTCATTTCTTTGTGCATTTTTTTCTGGTTATTATTATTATTATTATTATTATTATTATTATTATTATTATTATTATTATTATTATTATTATGTTCCACATTTTTGTTTATTCCCAGAAATTCCTCTTGGAAATTTCCAAAGTTAACTGTGAAGTTCTGCTAAAAGAACCCAATTACTGTAAAAGAGGGTACTTCAAAACACTTTGTTTCCAAACATATATTACTTTTTATTTTATTTTATTTATCTTTTTCATATTTGAAACTTCTATTTAAGAAATTGGCCATTCTTCTTCTTCTGATGTTCTCCTGCATCAGTGGAAATGCACATTAAAGTTTGGCCTCCTGCTGTGCCTGGATGCGATGAGGAGGCAGGTTTCTAAAGCCAGCCGTTCTCCTCAGAGCCTGCTGGTGAGCATTCCTGATGTTTAATCTCAAGCCCTGGATAATCTTGTTAAAGACGCAGCCATGTGTGTCCACTCATCCTAAATTTGGATTAGCTGGAATTAACTTATTTGTCCTTTTTTGTTGTTGTTGTAAACAAGATTTACTCATAGGATTATAGAAGTATTTAATTTTAGAAGATGAATGACTAAACCAGACTCTTTATAATAAAGCGTAAAACTGCATTGTTAATCTTATTTCCAATTTATCTCAGGAGAGCAATTGTAGAATTAAAGTTATAATGGATAAAATTCAATATTACGTAAATCTAAAAACTATGCTATCATGTTTTGTGATATATCTCTAAAACTTTTTCACAAAGGAGAAGTCTTTGTCTGCTGGTCTGTTTATATATTTCTTTTCTTTGTGTGCTGGGAGGCTTTTGTATCAAAGCTTGTTTGATTTTTTTGTCTTCTGCTCTTTGAGTCTCACTTCCCTCGTCCACCTGTGCTGGTGTTTACTGACGGCCTTGTCAGAGACTTGGGATGTTTATAGTTCCACAGCAAGGAAGGCTGCTCAGGGTGTGTGTTTCTCTGAGAGGGCTAAAATAACAAACTGTCATAGAGATATGGGAGCACTTCCCAGCTGCCTACTCTGTTTTAATATGTCTGCTTTGCCTTTCTGCATCAGTCAAGGTCCTCAGTGTGTGCGTTCACGTCGGTCTCAGTACAACGTAACCCATTAAGAGCTTTTTAGAGGTGCAAACCTCTAAAAAAGCTCCGTCTTTCTTGTGAACACATCCTCAAATAACTGAAATCGTGTGTTGCGCTGAAGTGTTTAGTTTGCACTTCCAATCTGTGAGGGTCCTGAAGTGCAACCGTAGCCACCGTTTGTTCTGGTTTGAGAAGTTTTCAAAAGACCTTCTTTTCCCAGCTGTCATTCATCTCCACTCATCAATTAAAAACTATAGACTTGTGACATCTCCATTTCCTCTGTGTCACCCCTACGGACTGCCGTGTCACCAAGGGCGGTGTTTGCGGGGCGCTGCTCGTCTCGCACCCACACTTGTTGCCCCTCCGTAGCACATCCTGAATTGAGACATATGAAGGCGTGGTGTCATTAGGATTCGTGGCTGCATTGTAGAAACTTTAGATCAGCTGTCACACGGTTTTGTGGGAGCCAGGGGAATCTAGTTCAAAGTGCTTCCTGAAGATGTCGAGGGGGATGCACTCTTTGACCTGAGGCTCATCAATCTTTTGCATCTGTCAGCTTCTCCTACTGCTCTGTAGATGCTGTCTGGAGATGTTATGTGATGATTGTGCATATTGTATATTGGTGCGTTTTGTAAACATGCTTATATTGGTGCTTGCGTGATTATGTGAGCTTAGGGTGCGTTAACATAACTGGACTCCACAGAGACAGTTTTGAAGTTTCTATATTGATAAGATTCTTATAAAAGTGATAGGAAATAAAACTATTCCAAAAGGAGAAAGTTTTATTTTTCCCCGTTTCATGTGTCCAATTGAAGTTTCCAACTGGATTATCAAATTAGACTTTTTTAAAGTTGACTGAAAACTCACCAGCTCCGAGTCTGAAATCAGATTTGGCAGCAATGCTGAAAGTTTTAGCAGCTGCAGAAATACATTTTTATTTGAGCATGTCTTTCTTTCTTTCAAATACTATGTTCTACAGTGTTTTGTTTTTTTTATCAATTTTATAGATTGACATACTTCTGCATGACCCACTGGCACAGGTTATTCTCATTGTCTGTTCATTGTTTATCTTGCATACAAACCGGTGTCATTCCCAGCTTTAAGTTCAACCATCCATTGGAAGTGCAGTGCAGCAAAGGTTATCATTTTTGTTTGAACTCAACATTGAACTGCAATCAGCCCTAAACAATGTTGCCTACTTCATTAAACACAGGAAATACTCTTAGTAAACAGTTTTGATCTGTAAACCTGGGAGCACATCCAAGATAGATGGGGTCAGTAAAAATGCCAGTGTTGGTAGCAGTTTTTTGTGATTTATCCCTGCTTAACATAATCTGATTATTCTTTTATGCACCAAACTAGGGAAACCGGCTAATACAGATGATTCTGCATATTTGGGTTGATTTAGCTGACCTGATTTCAGTTGTGAAACTGTCGGCTCTTGTGACACGTTTTGGTTGGGTTTGAATTGTCTTGGTTATCATAATATAAGATCTCGCTGCACGTTGATAATGAATTGATTCTGCACATAGTCTCGGTGGAAAAAGTCCAGGCATTATATTTTTTCCACAGAGGACTGTGGGGAATAAAAGCTGATCTGCTGGAATAATGTTCTCAGCTTTGGTGTAGGGGTTTTCATTTTGCTCAGGGAAGCAGTCTAAATGAACAGACTGGAAACTGTTGTCAATAGAGGCCCAGCCATCTGTCACAATAGCAAGAGGATTTCTGAGGGCAAAAAAAAAAAAAAATCTTGTTTCCATGCACACAAGTGTTAGAACTGTCCAGCTGACTGCAAATTCCTCTGGAAGCATTCAGTCCTTTAAATTTCACTGCTGATGCACAACATTTTGAAAAAAACCTTTGCAATCAGCTATTGTTTCATTGGCAGTCTTCTTCAGCAAATTGCAAGTCCTTTTATCAGATAAAAAGTCAAACACATGATACAGATGTCACAGAGCCGATGTTCCTCTCAGATTGTTTGCCATTGCTTAG